CAGAAACTAGGTTTGTGGCTAGACCCCAGGGTCAATTCTAATATCATGACCGTATTTGTCTCTTTATGCCGAGCATTTGTATATATAGTTTTGTTGTGGGAAGCTCAACCGTTTCGGAATTATGACCCAGGGGTTACGTCTCCAAGGGTGGAACAGACCCCGGGGCTATCCTGGAAGAACATATGCATTCATCTCTTTATACTCAGCAATTGTATATTTAGTTTTGGAGTGGGGATCTCAACTGTTTCAAAGTTATGGCCAATGGACTAAGTCTCCAGGGTGGGGCCTGATTCCCAGGGTCATCCTGGAGGCATATGTGCATTCATCCAGGGGGGTCAGCCTGTCCATTTGTACAATTGCAAATCCCCACCACAAAGGGATGCGTCCAACAAAATATAGTTGATATCCATCGCTTAGTTCCAGAGAAGAAATCACTTAAAGCAAAATAGCCAAAATACCTTTCTTGGCCCCGCCCCTCAGCCCCCTGGGGAGTCAGCCCCACCATTTGTACAATTTTTATCCTCACCACCTAGGGATGCTACCAGTCTAATATGGTTGATATCCATCGTTAAGTTCAAGAGAAGAAGTCACTTAAACAAATATAGCCAAATAACCCTTTTTGGCCCAGCCTCTCAGCTCCCTGGGGGTCAGCCCCTCCATTTGTACAATTTTGAATTGAATGCTTCCAAGCAAATATCATTGATATCCAGTGCATAGTTCTAGAGAAGTCGTTTATAGAAATATAGCCAAATTGACCCCTTTTGGCCCCGCCCCTCAGCCCCCTAGGGGGTCAGCCCCACCATTTGTTCAATTTCGAATCCCTTCCACCTATGGATGCTTCCAGTCAAATTTAGTTAAATTCCAATCAGTGGTTAATAAGAAGAAAATGTTTGAAGAAATTGTTGACGTACGTACGTACGACGGAAGCCACGGTATACAGGGATGTTTATTATAAATATTTCCTTCACACAAAACTAAGGAGTAACTCTTTGAAACTGTCCATTTTCCTGGCAACTTCCAACTTGACCATATGAATAATAACATGATGGCTTTACAACATCACATGATTAGAGAAACTTCCATCTATTAATATTATCATAAAAATGTCAGCTCTCAAAGGTATTGCCTGGACAAGAATTTGGATAATCTCATAGAAATTTCATGAAACTTGATTTTTTAAAATAAATTAATAAATTGAACCAAAGTAATATACGAATGCATGGCAACAAAGAAAGGGAAGAATATTTATGAGCCAAAAAGCCATCAAAAGCAGTTTTATTTATTATTTTGTGATCATCGCCTAATTGTTAACATAACAGACAGCAGTCAAAGCTTTGTTGGACACAAAATAAAAACAGACACAAAAAACCTCTGAAACATAATTAACCCAAAATATTAAAGTCTTATAACAAAAAATCTTCACCATTTGGTCAAACACCCAGAAAAATGTGGGTTGAAACTTGATCCATGGTGGTGAAAACCGATTAATTTGGTTTAGCCAGCAGTTTTGAGTTGATAAAAAAGAGATAAAAGTCATCCATTATGAGTGGGTGTGTCCTGGTGTCCACCCCAGTGACCTGCCCTGTAATACACGCTAACTTTCCTCCACACTGACCACCATTTAACCCAGGTCTGCACACACTGAGCTAATCACACCCAGCCTGTCTCCACAACCTCATACGGGGCAGCCTATTGTTACGACAGTTTACGTGGTGAAAGGACTTAGAAATAAGTACCGTAGTGTATGGTTAGCTTTTAATGATTTTATACTTTTTTAACTTAGCATCAAAAGTAGTTTTAACAGTATGAAGCTTAGCTATAAGTATAAGAATTCATGTAAACAAAAGACACTATTTTTTGGCTTAGTTTTTGAGGTTTTCTTAGGCGGGGAATGGAGGAGGCAGGTAGTGGAGGAGGGGGGAATAGGGTGGAGGAGGGGGGAATAGGGTACAGTTTTGTAATTGGGACTTGGAACATTTATTGTATGCATTGCTTACACCCAAATTGAAATTTTTGCTTATCCAGCGATACATTTAAAAGTTGTTTGATTCATAAAAAGTGATTTTTCTTCATTTTTCTTTGTTTCTTTTAAGCAAAAACTGGGGAAAAACATGATGTCCAAATTCCATTGAGTACTTGGACCAAAATTACCCAAATATGAGCCAAAACACACCTAATGGCAATATGTCTTCGTGACAAGAAAGACAAATTCTAGGATCAAAATACAAAGACTTACGCCAAGTCTTACCGTTTAGATCACTATTCATTCTAACTAGTCTCCTTTCCACATAAATCACCATAAAAATAACTAAAACAAATTAATTAGTCCTTTTGTTAAAGGGTTTCCCCCAAAAAAATATCCCGAATTTCCATTGATTATTAGAAAAGTAAAATTAATCGTTTTTTTAGGGGGGTAATTTTCCCAATTAACTTATAAAGGGTTTTCCAAATAATTCGTAAAAGGCCTCTCAGGGCTAACACTTTTTGTTAGGAACTTTTAAGGTTAATCCTTGAAATAAACGACTGTTTGAAGCCTATAAAAACCACGACTATTGTTGACCTAACAAGGCTTGAGGGAGGACCCCACAGATGGACAGGCTCACAGTAAAGATCCAATACTTTTGTCCACAACTGACCCCTAGTATACGGGCTATATGAATGTCTCCTGTCATATCCTAATTAATGACCAAAACCACACAATGCTTGTTGCGGTAATGTAATAACATGAGGAATGGTTATCTCTCATATTACCAGGCATTGTTAAGGTTTCGGTCCTGATGAGGAAATATGTGGTAACCGCGGTCAACAGATCAAAACCAACACTGGCAATTTTAATCTTCTTTGATTAATAACAAAAATGAAACCTTCTCGATTAGCTTCTGTTTAATATATTTCATCACAAGTTTTTTCAATCATAATTCTAGGCAAAAAAGCGCCATGATATGTTGATAAGTGGTCTATATAGTGTAACTTTGAGTCGCTCAGACACAGAATATCATATTAGTCAACACTACAGTCACTACTGAACAGGATACAAGATGGATCCATATTGCTATATTTAGGTGATGAAGTACCAAAACAAAAATTGGTCCATTTTGAATTGTTTATACTCAACAAAAATTAGTCCATTTTTAAATTGTTTATACTCAACAAATGTTTATCCATTTTTGAATTGCTCAGGCATGGGTCAAAGACAGAGCCTTACGTTAAGCAACTGCGGCATGAGATCAAAGATTGCGACTAACTTTGAGTCACAAAGTTATGGATGAAAGATGAAATGGCTTACCTTCAGACATTGAGGCATTGGATAAAAGATTGCTTACCTTAAGTTACTCAGTCAATGGATGGAGTCACAGATGGGCAGGCTAAGCCACTGAGGTATGGCATCAAAAGATGGAGACTTATTTTAAGCTTTTAGTCAATGAAAGATGGGTCAAAGAAGGAGTCTTTCCTTAAGTCCATGAGACATAGAATCAAAGACTGAGAGGCCTACTTTCAGGTTTTGAGACATAAAGTGATCAAAGATGGAGACTAACCTTGAATTGCTGTTAAAAAGGATCAACAAGAATTCCACGGAAGTGGATGTGTCGCCTGCAAAGGAAGCTGGGAGATTGTGCTTAGCACTGCATGAAGTTTGAGTTTGATCGGCCCAAGGAAACTCAAGTTCTCGCACGAAAACAGATTTTCTATTTATAGTAACAGTGACCTTGACCTTTGACCTTCGGACCTGAAAAGCAATCCTAAGCAAGCACTTTTGGTAAGGAAGCACTGCATGAAGTTTGAGTTTGATCGGCCCAAGGAAACTCAAGTTCTCGCACAAAAACAGATTTTCTATTTATAGTAACAGTGACCTTGACCTTTGGACCTAAAAAGCAATCCCAAGCTAGCACTTTTGGAAAGGAAGCAATGCATGAAGTTTGAGTTTGATCGTCCCAAGGAAACTCAAGTTATGGCACGAAAACATCTGTGCGGACGCCGCCGACATAGCAATACCTAGGTGTCACCAGCTTTTCGCAGGCGACACAAAAATGGAGATTTACCTTGAATTGCTGTTATAAAGGCAAAAAAATGGAGATTTACCTTGAATTGCTGTTATAAAGGATAAAAAATGGAGATTTACCTTGAATTGCTGTTATAAAGGATCAAAAATGGAGATTTACCTTGAATTGCTGTCATAAAAGAACAGGGATGGAGATTTACCTTGAACTGCTGTAATAAAGGATCAAAAATGGAAATTTACCTTGAATTGCTGTTATAAAGGATCAAAGATGGAGAATAACTTTGAATTGCTGTCATAATGGATCAAAGATGGAGATTTACCTTGAATTGCGGTCATAAAGGATCAAATATGGAGACTAACCTTGAATTGCTGTTATAAAGGATCAAAGATGGAGACTAACCTTGAATTCCTGTCATAAAGGATCAAAGATGGAAAACAACCTTGAATTGCTGTCATAAAGGATCAAAGATGGAGATTTACCTTGAATTGCTGTCATAAAGGATCAAATATGGAGACTAACCTTGAACTGCTGTAATAAAGGATCAAAGATGGAGACTAACCTTGAATTCCTGTCATAAAGGATCAAAGATGGAGACTAACCTTGAATTCCTGTCATAAAGGATCAAATATGGAGACTTACCTTGAATTGCTGTCATAAAGGATCAAATATGGGGACTAACCTTGAACTGCTGTAATAAAGGATCAAATATGGAGACTAACCTTGAATTCCTGTCATAAAGGATCAAAGATGGAAAACAACCTTGAATTGCTGTCATAAAGGATCAAATATGGGGACTAGCCTTGAACTGCTGTAATAAAGGATCAAATATGGAGACTAACCTTGAATTGCTGTTATAAAGGATCAAAGATTGAGATTTACCTTGAATTGCTGTTATAAAGGATAAAAAATGGAGATTTACCTTGAATTGCTGTTATAAAGGATCAAAGATGGAGAATAACCTTGAATTCCTGTCATAAAGGATCAAAGATGGAGACTTACCTTGAGTCGCTGTGAAACAGGATCAAAGATGAGTCTGATGCCATCATGAGACAGGTTAAGTACTAGGTCCATCTGCAGTGGATACTGAAAACACAACAGAGTTTGATCAAACTGAGTATTAGGTTTAAATATACAAACTCAATGTGCTGAAAAGCAAAGTTTGTTCAAAGGGAGTTGGTGTATCAGAAAATCACACATGCTATTTGGGAGTTCAAATAATGTAGCCCTGTGCAGTACAAAATATGTGTGGATGAGTCTACTTAGCTTCTACAGTGTTGGGGACTGACTGGTATATTTATATATGAGAGGAATATATGTTTCTCTGCTCAAGATTCAGTATTTCATCGACAGTTTTAAACACAGCAGAACACATTTAGGTACTAATCATAATATGAAGCTATTAAAGATACTTACTAGTCTACATTACCATTTAAAGCACTTTTCTGGGTTGATTGCATTGTAACTTGTTGTGGTTATAATTAATTGTAATTGGTTGGTTGTTCTAGTCAACAAAACAATGAAATGATACATAATCAAAGTGCTGAGCACTATAAAGGATGACTTATGGAGGTGTAAATGAGAAAAGTAAGACTTGAAAATGTGTATGAAGGTTTTATATACGTCTATTTCCCAAAATATTCATTTTGTGAACATGCATTAAATATTCAAATGAATATTCAATAAATTCTAAATTCAAGGTCTTGAAACAATATCAGCAATAGGGCTACGTATATTACTCTGGCTTAAGACTTGGTCCACCAAAAATATGCCCTAATCAGAAAGCAGGCTACAGTGCCCTTGTAGGGATTATATAGGGATCCTGATGTCCTCCCCATACCTCTCCATTTCAATACTACCATTGATGCAGAACAAAAAGTGAAAGTGCTACTTAATTTCATTGTACTCTATCAGATTTTAGAACAAATATCACAGACTTTGGTTAATCTAAAAATCTTGCATACCTTAATATGCTATCAAAATTTCATTAATTTATATTTTGATTGTCATGAATTTTTCAAAAACCAGCCACATCACTAGAGCTATAGTTTTAGACTGGCTGTGTGTAAATATCAGGGCAGTCAATAGCTATGCATTAACACTTTCACCCCAGGAAACTGTTTAGCCTCATTGATGAAATTTCACTCATTTAAGCAACATTTGTTTCTTCCTTATGCATATTCTGCTAATAAAAGAATGTGTGTTGGCCAGTTGGCTCTATTGTCAGTACAATGACAGAAACAAACTATGATATTATTACTGTGACACTGGCTATTGTTAACATGTAATTTTTATTTTACCTTATTTTACATGTCCTTGGACTAATCTGCCTACTCAAATACCATAATGAATATCTTCGACTTCCCTCGGACAATAGAGTGTTAATACCACCGACCGGACACTGGCTAAACACGGCCAGTAATGACCCCTAACCCTTTGTCCAGTCCTCCCACAGAAACCAAAAAACATAACTTTTATGCAGGCTATTGACCAAACAAGGACACCAACACAATCTTCTTATCACAGAAATGGACAAACAAAGATGTCAAGACCAGTGAAATTTGATCTTCCTACTTTTATGTCTTCCCTAGACCATGACAAGGTCCATTATATGCATTTAGGACCAATTGAATTGGTCATTACAGTGTATATGATTTCCTGAAATTGGAGAAAATGAAAAAAGGGAGATCTGATGCCACCATCTGTGCAAGACCAGTGTGTTTCATACAAGTTTAACCTGCTGTTCATTAAGCTTCAAAAGAGTGTCTCTGCTTTTCAACACTATTGATGTATTGTATGTACAGTATTATATATGTATACAGTATTACCTGTCTATAGGGAGCCTTGTCTAATCTGGATCCCTGTCTATACTGGTTTTACTATTTGGTCCTGGCATATCCTGTCATAATTTGTAGTAAGTCAATCCAGTTTAATCGGGACCCTAACTACTGTCTGGATGCCAGCATTGCTTTATCAATCTTACCAGTTAAATTACTATTAATTTACAAATGTATATAAACAACAAACAGTTCATTTCGGTCTTTTTACTTTCCTTGGTCAGGGATTTCCAGAAAACTATTTTACCGAGGTCAAAAATAAATAATAGGTAGACTTTCGTTGTAAATTATTGTAAATAACATAAAATTTCACATTAAATATTTTCTTTATTTTCCATAATTTATTTACACCAAAACATTTCAACTTGTGTTAAATTACCAACAATATTGACTCTGCATAAACTGTACCCGTTATTAACTGGCCAGATATTTCATTTCCTGTTTGTTACCATTAATTGTGCACATCAAAAAGACTTTTCTAAAACCATATTTAAACATGGCTTAAATAATTAAGTTTGGCAGGAAAACAGTATAGTTTATCAGAACAACATTAATGAAAGACAGCTATATCTTTAAGCCTTACTGCATATACTTGAAATCTATGCAGTAGGAAAAAAGAGCTTAAAACATTTATAAAAATTAAAAATCCCAGATGAAGTAACTACAATGAACAAAGTCCCTATTACTACATGTTCTGGAAATGATGCCTATCAATTTAATGAACACATCAATATAGTACTTGTACTTTAAACCTGTGTGATATTGACACGTGGTGAAGCTGTGTACCTCCTAGCCAGCTCACGTAACCTTTATGTACCATGTTTCATTAATAGCCTATATATATTGTGTTTCATATATCAATGACACGTGGTGAGGCTGTGTACCTCCTAGCCAGCTCACGTAACCTTTATGTACCATGTTTCATTAATAGCCTATATATATTGTGTTTCATATATCAATGTTGTAAAATTTTATGAAAATAACCTGTACTTCCTGCATTATTGATGGGAATCCCCCAAAATTGTTAGCAATACAAATTATCTTGATTGATAAATTGAGAATTGACATAAAGCCATCAGAGGCCATACAATGCCTGCTCCACTTTCCCTCAACGGGTACTTAAAAGGCTGAACACGTACCGGAAGCTGGATGTTCGTCCAGTTGGAATAAATGGTACATCATCAGGCAGAATTTTTTCAACATGAAACTTTATACAAATAATATGTGTTCTCTCCTTAATAATTAGCATGGATGAATTACGGATGGTTACTTCAACTGCCAGAATAGCATGTTATGTTGGTTGAGCTTTACCGTGGGTTAGTTTCTAAACATTTTTTAACAATCTTGCTGGATCCAAGTGGCATCAGTGCAATGTGTGCATTACTGCTAACAGTGGACATATTCGGTATTGACATTGTTTAGTTAACTGGCTTTGTGTTTGTTGTACCTGTGCGATGAAATGGTTTGTTTTTTACAATTGAGAATGAATTGATCTTAATATAATTAAAAGTGTCTTTTACAACCCTGAAACAAACTGTTACTGTATGTTTTGAAGTTATTGCTTTATACAACTTTTTACCTTAGTATGCACAGTTTCTCTTTTCTGGTGGTACATATATATATATACCAAATGATATCCCTGTTTTCTATATCCTAATTGGGTGAATCAAAATCGTGTGGAGTTGGTAATTTGTGATATTGATATTGTTACTATTTTTAGGAACTTCAGTTCAATATTCACTGTATGGCGTCATTTCAATTGTAGAGTCACAATTCTCTCGTGCCATATTCAGTTCTTTTCTCTTCATGATTTGCTTATACTTCATTGATAAAGCATGATTTCATGTCTAACAGTAAATGACTTTTATTTCGTTGAATGTGTTATGTGGTCTTGAAAAGTGATAATGACCTCTATTTTGCCTTCGTTCAATATCACTTTCTCAGGTCCGTAAAAATAGCCTTTATCCAAAAAACAGTTTGGTGTGTTTTCATTGATGTTAAATGTAAAATTATAATGCATGTATAATAACAATATTTACTAATCATGATAACTTGTACATTGTGTATTTTTGTTTTGGGTAACAGTTGAGATAAAACAGAGATTTTTTTTGTCATTTATGACTACGTTCTAGCACACATGAAGTCACTCGTAGACTTGCTTTCGAATAAAATGAAAACTTGGTTTGAATGTCAGTCAGGGACGTAACCAGGCGTCCGCACAGGCTTCCACATACTTTTTTCAAGTATACTTTTTTTCAGATAACAGGCACATGGTCGTCTACGTATATCAGGTTGAATTAATTATTACGCATTTGATAAAAAATACTTAAAGACAAATATGAAAATGATAGGTATTTTATGTCTCAAACTGCATCAAAATGGGTTCCAGATTCAAAAACATTCTCGGGGGGGGGGGGGGGGGGGGGGGGGGGACCCCCCCCCCCGGAACCCCCGAAACTCAGGAGGGGGGGGAACCCCCCCTCCAAACACCCCCCCCACTCTGCGCTTCGTATGCTTCCACATACTCATAGTCCTGGTTACGTCCCTGTCAGTGTCCATGTCTACTAAATATCTACTAACCTGCTGACTGTACCATACTTGAACTCCTTTGATCACACGGTCCTGGCGCCTTAGGATGCTCACTGCTTGGTAGAACGGCATTCCTGTCACAAAGATTTGCATAATGATACTTCTATATATATCCAAGACTTCAAGTCTATGGTATACATCCTTCGCCTTGCCAAATCCCCACCCATTCAAATATTCTATCATCATTCAAAGGGACACACAACTTTCACTATCGTCCCGGGCACCCCACACCCATTCCATCATCATCCACATGCAGGGACTCCAATGTTTCATCACTATACACGGCACCCCAAACCCATGTCATCGTCATTCAGTGACCTATCGCAACATCATTCACAAGGAACCACGCCTCATTTCTTAACCAATTTTCATTTTAGCAGAACTGAATAACAACTGTCAATTCCAGTGACCTGATGTCTAGTTCAGTTGGTTAGCGTGTTTGTCCAGAATTCTGGGATTTCTTGATTGTTCAGGTTCCTATTCCAGTCTTTAAATTTGAAAAAGTGACAGTTAGGCCATTTACTGACCAGCTAGTGACGTAGGTCTACTGTAGCTTAGAATCAAATTTAATAGACTCCAGTTTGTGGGTAGCTTCCTGACCATGATTCATTTCTTACTTTTAAGTTACATCATGTTTAATCCTGTTGGCCACAACTATTATATTGAGTCTAGGTTACACGTTTATGGAACAAAAGTCGTGTAATTTGGCACACATATGATATACGAGGGACATGCACACTTCCTATGTAAAAATATAGCCACAGCAAGCCATCTTTATCAGAATGGTAGACTGGTAATTTGGATTAAAATGGATGAAATTTTAAAGAGATGTTGACTAACTTTTACTGTCTCATCAGTATCTAGCCAGGAACTGCCCATCATTGTTTTGGCATATTATAATAATCATTATTGATTTTTCAACAATTATGAACCAAATATTTTCACCTTATAATCCCTTATTGTTGGCCCGGATGGAAGATAACTAGTGTAAACAGAGAGAATCCACACCTTGTTGTGAAAGCTGCCAGATTCTAATTAGCTGCTATAACATTATATTACATAGCTCCTAAAACCAAGACAATTTTAATATAGAGGGCGGGGACAGAGGAGGCCAGGTATTATTGTCAGCACTAGTAGCTGTTTCTTATTCTCAGAATTTACCTAAGAAGTCTACTGTACATATGCCCAAACCCAACACCATGTACATTGTATGTTACCCTGGTAAAATGCTAGCGGCTTCCTAGGCCACCGAATAGGTTAGGGAGAATTTCTCTATTGCTCATTTGGTAAGACTAATAATTAAACCAGAGGTCCCGGGTTTGACTCCTGGCGGAGGTTTTGAAAAAAATAACGACCTCTTTTACATATATACCTACAAACTCATTGAACTTGGAGAGAAAAAGCATCAGAGAAATAACCTTTATTATTTATATAAACATGATTGAAGACAAAACCCGCTTATATGATGGTATATATGTACCAGTATTGATTTGAAAATAATTAATAACAACAGCATGTACAGTGTAATTCATTCAAAATTTGGGGATAAACACATAGCACTGTCAACTGTCAAAATATGATATCAGCTGTTATGTTACATCGACCTTCACCTTTGCCTTCTGCGTTGTGGAGAATGCCCTATGTTCCAACATACAATACTAGACCTACTTTGCCACCAAGGTCAATACACAGATGTGATCTAAGATAGTAATCGATCATTCAAATCACTCAAACTATACATGTTGCATCAAATATAACATACGCACTGTAAAATAAACAGTGGTCTCGCTCGATAACAGACGCAGAAATGAAATGGCGATTCATAAATGACTCACCTAAAACGAATTCCCATTGTTCGTTGCCTAAAGATCGTTCTGGAACTACTTCAAGATCTAGCATTGTTAAGTGTTATTGTGACTGGAAGAAAAACATATATAATTTTATAGAAGTAAGGTAAGAAAACACAGTCAGTTCTGTGTGCCTCTCATGTTTACATCTTGCAATATTTCAACGCCATGTTTGTTTACATATATTACGCATGCGCGAAAATCTTCCCGCCCTCACAACTCAAACACATGATTGCTAGCCAACGAAAATCAAACATTTTTGGTATCAACATTTGAAGAAAAGTAAACAACAGGCAAAATTCAAAACGGTCACCAAAATGCGTGTTCTTCTTTTGTGATAGATTATATTTAGATTACAAACACTTTTGTTTGCACTGATAAACAGAGACTGTAGATTATACTGGCTCTGAATCTCTAAATAGTATAGATGTAGGCCTACTGATTAGATTGAATTTCTAACATCAATTTACCATTAAAGTTTGATTTCAATCCATTTTGAGCTCGATCCAAAATGTGGCTGCCAATGGCCATCTTGGATTTCGTACAGTTAGGAGTTCAGACTAGACAGGTCTTAGTTGGATAAGGAAGTCCTATAGAAACTTGCCCGGTGAACTTTTAAAATATACCTGTGTCTATGGAACGCCTAATTAACATATATTCAATAAATTGTACCTATCTTCAAATAATTGAAGATATGTCCAATTAATTGGAGATATGTCCAATTTAATTGAAGATATATAGGTACAATTAATTAAAGATAATTACTTTTACCACGGACTTAGATAATCTAATTTCGTACAACCTATCTCCAATTGAATTGTACCTATGTACAAATACAGCATATCCTCAATATTGAATTGAACATATCTCCAATTGAATTGAATCTATCTTTAATTAATTGTACCTATCTAAAACTATTTAAATATTTGAATATGTGTAAATTTGGCGCTCCAAACGTGTCCGTCGATCCAGACCAATGATATTTTAAAAGGAATTAAAAGATTTTCATGAAACTTGCCTTTCACATTATACATGCCTTAGCATCAACATTGCATACGTATTAAATGCAAAACCTTTTGAAAGACCATAAAGACAGAGACGTTATTTGTGTATATACAAACAAGAGATTTTATTTAACGTCGTATTTTAAACAAAGCAACGTAAGCTCAGAAGAGCTATTGCAACGACGATAACAATGACACAGGATAAAACACAACAAAATATAATTACCAAAGAATGCATAACAATGACAGCTAGCAAATTAAAAGCACTAAGCGCTAAAGGACAAGCACGCATACATCTGATAAACCGCAGGGTATAAGGTAATAAAGAATGAATTAATATCTCATGCATCATTCAATGTTATAATAAGAGATCTGAGTTGAAAATACATCTATGCCAATATGGCAAAATAAAATTTGATAGAATGCATGCTAATATAGCACAGCATAAAACACCGAAGAACATAAACAAGAGTTTATATTATAAGCAGTATTATAAAGATGTAATGAAAGCACACACAATAGCGGTGTTTTTATCGTTGCATGTGTAAGAATAAAAATAGACGAACACAAATTACAGTTACATGTAGGGCCATCCCATGTGTGCAAAAATCTCCGGAAGACTGAGAAGACTTGAGTTTGTCTAATTTCATTCGGTAAGCAGTTCCACACACGAGGAGCCTATGGAAACAGAATGATTTCTTACCATACGTGGTTGTCCTGACCTGTGGAAAAATGCTTACTGTGTTTATGTCTGGGATTATAATGATAATTCTTTATTTTCACCAGCTCAGAAATGTATCGTGGTCAAAGACTTTTTTTTTTAAGCCATACGTTTGTCATGGGGGGAAAGAGCAATTATTACGGTTTACAAGAACACGTAAAGGAGTGTTAAAATCATTTTCAATGAACCTCAATGCTCTCTCTGATTTTTTCTCTAATTTCTGGCGTTTTTCATACTGCAGAAATTCCATGCTAGGGGACAAGTTAAAATTTAAACAAATAAAAGATTAAAAAATAGTTATCTTGCACTTCTTGGTAATGTTACAGCCAATTCTTTTGAGAATACAAAGTTGTCTAGATGGTTTTATGCAGATATTGGAAATATAGTAGGTCAAAATGTAAATCAGAACCAATGTCAACGCCCAATAGGTTAACTGAATCATGACAATTAATTACTGGTTATTAATTTTGAATTGCGGAATTGATAAGACTTGATTTATTGCCTTTGCTTTCATACCATAACTACCAAACCAGTCTATTAACTGTTACTCTCCTTCTCGGGAGCAGATATATATGCACGTTGACATCCTTGTGTCGACCTTCGCTAGGGGTACAACCATAAAACGCAGATGTCGACTAGCGGGATTTCTGAAAAAAGTAATATAAAAATGGAACATGATTTTTTTAACATAACTCAGACCAGCTGAATTCGATAAACAAAATTCAAAAAGCGGAAATATGAGATTTCGATTACCTAATCTTCATAAACAAAATTGATGCCAATTTTGGACCTCTCTTGAAAAATATGCTGCATTAACTATTTATCCAGAAAAGCAAGAATGGTATGCGTTTTGAAAGTAAAGAATATGAATAATACATTGATGTAATGATAACTTGCATTAAATACTCATGAATATTCAAATTAGTGGTCTCCATCACAATAAAAATCTTCAATATGCTTTGAATGTCAGAGACTAGGATTCAGACATTTTTGAAGTTATTAGAAGATTCGTGGTAAACAATACTCATGAATATGCAAATTAGTGGCCACCTTGAAAGTAAACGAATTTTTCGTCAATAACAACACAAGCAACCAATCCTAGTTGATTGGATGTTCCTTGCAGCATCAACTCACGTTATTTTATAAATATCATAATTATATTATGCAGACAAACGTTTCTGAACATTAAATGATCTCTGTAAGTTCACCAATTCTAAATTTGTTTTTGCAACTTCCATGTGGATCTGTTATTGTGATTTGTTAAGTAGGACGCTGTGTCACATGGAATGGAAACAGATTTATTGGTTGTTATTACCGCATTAGAGTATTAAAGTGTGTAACCCCAATGAAATTAGTAGTATATTGCGGTGTCAGACAACACCCAGCGACGTATACATAGAATAAGGAGAAATAAGGAAACCAAAAGAAGGGGAACATCAATGTCCATTGATTACAACTGTATTTATGTAAATGTCTATACACAGCATGTAACACAAACACAGTTGCAGTTTCTTCTCGTGTGGCTATCGGTTAAGGTAAATAGATGATTGCCGTTCATGACATCTCTAATTCCCGTCAACTACATTATCTTTTTCATTATGTACCGCAATATATGCCCATTTAAAAGCAGGAAATTCAGTAACACATATTTACCATTTCACACATGAACGAGGTGTAACACCAGGTCCTATTTAATCACAATAAAAGTTATCATGGAAAGTAGTAAAATAGCAACATCATTTACTAAATTATAACACTTTGGGACAGCTGAACGCACAGAGAGGACCATTTGATCTGAAGAAACGCTTGTCTGCAGGATAAATTACATACGCAACACATACACTGTCAATATAACGAGGTATGTACATGAACTGTTCTCTAAAATTGGGTCCCCTGCGAGTTATGCGTTTTTCTTCCTTCCGTTTGATGCGTGTTCACGAACAAGCAATGGGTTGGAGAAAACTGTGTCCCACTGAGCTTGATGTGCCTGAGGACAAGGGATAGACACATGAGTGGTTCAGTATTACAACCCATTACTGACCATGTTTAGTCGAATTCCTATTGTCAGGGAAAAATCTCGTGTGCATGCCAAAAGCAACGAAGAACGCGTTATTGAAAAATGCTGAAAATCCGGGATTCTATGCGCAGCAATATGATCATGCCAGCAGCAAAAAAAAATATTTTGTATAATGATTTTACTTCGAAATAGTATTTTCCAGCATATTTTGAGTTTATAACTAAGCACATTAGGATATGCCTGCCATGTTTCCATCGTTACCGACTCATCTGCCTAGTCACGATGACTGGACTGCTCATTTAAAGCTTTATAATGCTTTGATTTATCACCTGTCTATGACGACCACTTCAGCTGTTGTTGTGGTCAATACTTATTGAAAGGTAAAATGTGTAATTCTTTTTACCCTATAGTATGTGATCACCTAATATATGGGTGACATTGGCCTTTGTCAGACCACTGGAGTCAGCTGCTTCAGTTGTTGTGGTCAATACATAATTAACTTAACGTGTAAAACAAACGTTTTTCGGCATCATAATTTAACACAGATCGTTTTAAATTAATGTTCAATATGTCATGCTACATAGAGTAAAATCCCATCAGGTCATCAGCCTCTGTTGACTGCTATGTAAATAGATATTAAATACATTAACGCTATCGTATGAACTACATGTCAGACTTTCCCCACTATCAAATTAATAAGGTGGCAGTTGCCTCGCACGGGTCACCTGCCTCTGTGGTCTTAAATAAAGAGAGAGAAAAAAACGATTTTATCAAATTAATGTTATTGTCGTCACGTGCTGGTCACCTCTCTCTGTGGTCATCGTCACCTGGAACTGAGTTCTCTTCTTGTCGATAGCAATAATTTAGAAATATTTCATTTCGAACAAACATACAGTTCCTAAATGTTGGACACATAAAACCTAAACAATCCCAATCCTTGCGTAAGCCATCCTTTCTGGGGTCACGCACCTTTTAAGACAGGCCTAATTTGTCAGTCACAGATACTCTTGTTGATCTGGACAGATAACCACTCGGACAGATCAATATACACTACAGGAGGTAGGAGAGTGACCCCTCTTGTGTCCCAGACACTCTTTTTGGTTATAATTTCTCTTCTTCGTCGTGCCACGACTTCTCCAATTTACACCACCAAATACAATGTATCAATTTTCGTACAAATGGAACAATTTACTTCCAGCATTTTGAGGTGAAAAATTGCATTTCAAAAAATTGTAGAATCTATAACTTTGTTAATTTAAAACAAGAATATTCTGATTTAATGTGGCGTGACAATGACAGAGGAACGGTAATATTGACATACTTGTACTTTTAGTACGATTTTACAATTATATGATTTGAATTTGATTGCTTTATGGCAGCTAAGTTGTAAATGTTTCGAGAAACTGTTTATATTCTTACTATTTTCAAAGAATCTT